AGAAAGAACAAGAAGATCATATTCATGGTGTCTTGCCTTATGTTGCTCCAGAACTTTTTCAAAGAAAAAAGTACACTCAAGCGGCTGATATTTATTCATTTGGAATTATCATGGTAGAAATGACAACTGGACAGAGACCTTTTAATAGTTATAATTTTGACATAGATCTTGTGATTATGATTTGTAAAGGATTGCGACCAAAATTTGGAATTGGAACTCCTAATTGTTATGTTGAATTAGCAAATCGATGCATGGATTCAAATCCAAAAAAACGGCCAACTACTAATGAAATTATTACTAAATTAAATGAATGGTTGGGAATTTTGAATGAAAATTTCGAAAATGAGATTAAAAAGCAGTTTTTAGAAAGTGATAAGATTAACAAAAATTTTACAATAATTAAAGAAGAAATAAAAAATATATACACTAGCAAACCATTTAACACTTTAGAAATTAGTAAAAGATTGTCAAATCTTAGTAAATCAGTTGGTATCGGTATGGAAATTCCAGATGATATTTAACGAATATTTATTTTTTTTGTTAAATATTTTTAAGTACTGTATTATAGGATAAATTATACCATTTAAATATATATTTGTAAATCTAAAATTTATAATTATTTAATATAAAGATTAACATATGACAGCCGAGTACTTTTTACTTAATGAACGGCTATGGTTTCATTAGTAAAATTTTAAGTAATCTTGGGCAAAATTGATCAATTCCGGCCATCCGACCAGGATCGATTTGTTATCACATGATTTCCCGATGTCCATCAACCAATTAAAATTCAGGATTAGGCGTAACGTAAAAAAAAATTCAAAACAAACGTTCACTGAAGTTTAAAATTCCTCGTGCAATTTTACTACATAACCATTCTTTTCAATCCTCTTAAAAACAAAACCAAATATAAACAAAGTTTTTATATTTGACGATGTTTGTTTCCGATTATCACGTGACAGTAAAAACGATCCCGGACACCTGTCCTCTCTGCATAAGCTCTAACAACAATCATAACTCCGATACATTCTGACACGGGAATTTATACAAATTGACGATTTTAACAAGAGGATCCATAAATTACTGGGCCGGAATAACCGGAATGTATCAGGGTTAGGGTTGACTATACTGGTTCAGGAGCTATTATCAGCTGGGAACATTTTGCATTAGTAGAATTCTTAGTGATATTGAGCAAAATCGATCAATTCCGGTCCATCCGACCAGGGTTCTTATACATTCTGACTCGGAATTTTGGGACCTTTCTGTACGAGTTTTATACACGGATTTTAGTCAGCATGAAATTTTTTGGTGGCGATTTTACCCCGGTCACTTCTGATTGGTTCTACTAATTATTCACATACTATTAATCTTGTAATATAAGTACAGAAGTAATGAATCATAAATTTAATTTTAAAAGACTTTAAAATAAAAATTTTATAAAGTATTAATATGGTGTTTTTATTATATTTTTTATATTTTCCAAGTCATGTATATAAAATTTTTAACAAATTTTTTACATTGGTTATTAATTAGAGCTTGGGTGAGGTTTTTAAGGGCTTAGAACATTTTATTTAGAATATCCCAAATTGTGTTGTGCTGCGTTGGGTGTGCGATATACTATATAAATCAAAACTTTATGTGCTTGTATAATAAAATTTATAGTCCTAATTGTTCGATTTTAGATAAATTTTGCAAAGACTAATAATATTTTTAAAAAAGAAACTAAATTAGGTTCGCTCATATTTTTTTTTTTAAAAAAAAATGCATAGAATATTAAATTTTATTTCATAATTAATATTTCTAAATTTACTCGCATTTACATCTTTAATATATCCAAAAGAAATCAATTAACTAAAGGAATCAATTGATAATATAGTCAGAGCTCTTAAATACGTCACTGATTTCGTTTTGCGTGTAACGGAGGTTCAGAATTATAAATACTATTTAAAAAAAATCTTTTTTTCAAAAAAAGGGAGATTAGTATAAAGTACCAAAATCAGTCAATTAAGTGAATATAACAGGTATATAAAGTTTTCCCACTGCTCTATACAACTATACTCCACGCTTCCAATGCTAAATATTCTAGATAAATTTCACGATTCGTAGAAATAGACCTAAGAATATTGCTACAACACCTTCGGAGTGTTCACGATTCGTTTAACACATCCAACAATGCTAGCCTTCGTAACATAATAATAAAATTTCACGATTCGTAGAAATAATATCAAAATGGTACGGACCCCACGACAACTTTTGACTTGTCAAGCGAATTAAAACGTGCCTAAACAAATCAACATGCCTATGTGAACCCGATTAAAATCACGGAGTCCATGGCAGTTCCGATGTATCTCCCTTTTTGCAAAGTATGAAATACTCCCAGAAGTGCCAGGTTAGCGATCGGAAAAGCGTGTTATATTAATACCTTTTTACGCAGTTCAAGAAAAGTTCATAACTGATCCCTCATGCAGGACCAGTAGACCTCAAGCCCGCAAAAAATATTAGTTGCGCCACATTAACATTAATCGATACTTACTCTTATATCGCGTACTTAATGTTTCCTTCTTCTGATTTCTCTGGATTACGTTTTCATTTTGTTTATTATTTTAAAAAATCGTAGTTTAGATATAGTGTAATAATGAGTAAATAAACATGCCAGTACGATTAAACAGATCGGAAACAATTCAAAATATATATTTGATCAAAATGTGATCATTTACCTGATTTGCGTGACAATAATACAAGCTCCTTAAAGAAAGCAGCCATATTGAAAGGATTCCATTCGATCGCTTCTTCATATTTTGTCGTTTTAAACAAAGGTCTTTTAGGCTAGGTCTTGTACTAAACAAGGGAATCAATAGGGTGAGACGAATAGAAAATGTTCAATTAAAAAAAAAACCTGAACGTGTGAGAAAAAAGTTAATAACAATACTAATAAGAGGACATACCTGAAAAGAGTATAATGAAGGTGTAAAAAGATTTGCTAGTTCTATAACATGGTGTATCAACAATTCATTGATGGAAAGGAATGTTGGAATGGGTCGATCGTGAAATTTATAAGTTATCGTTGGAATAATTCGAAATAGTCCGAATTGTGGGATTGGAAAACCTATTCGATAATGTAGATGAAAATCCGAAGTCAAGCATCGCACTTAGTTAACGAAAGGAAAACGCGAAGGATAAGAAAGAATGTATACTTGATATCCGAATGATGAGTGGTAAAAATTTTGAAGGTCACAGTCGTAAGGTCGTTATTGATTAATCAAAGCTGATGTAAGTCGCCTAATACCGATGAAATGTGCATGATTTATTGATGTAATAAAAAAAATGGAAGTAGAATACAAAATAAAAAAAAATAATGCATCTACTTACTGTCAAAAATCGGCTGAATTGAATTATGCTAAAAAAATGCTGGTTGAATGAATGGATTATGAAGTATTCGGTAATATTCAGTACCCAATAAATAGGCTGTGTCGATAAAGATGAAAAGGAAGCGTTTGAGCGATATTTGAAATCTACTAAAAATAAGAATTCAAGTGGATAAAGAAAAACGGTTGTAGATCAGGTGTGGACAGTAATAAAAGAGAAGTGAATATTGATAATGTAATAGAATTTGATGGATTGATTCGAATGAATGAAATGAAAACTGTAAATATACCTGAAATGTCTCTTGGAATTGATAATAAAAATATCTTTACCAAGATGAAATTGAAGGTGAAAGTGATGGATGCCAAGCGTGCATCAAATATTGAAGTTCTACAGAGCCAGGTTACGATAGTAAAATTTACACAATTGGTTCACTGTTATGGGAACGGGAATAGAACTAACAAGGTTGAAATTAATGTGCCCAGTCGTTATCAAAAATCTGATGAAGGGAAATGCAAAACGTTTAGGTGGCTTTTGGACAATGGCGGATGTAGCAATTTGAAAGAACGACACAGAGATTTGTTGTCAAAACGGCGTAGGTACTACTAAAGAAACATATAATCGTAGTTATCAAAATAGAACTGGTAGTAAAGAGATGAGCATAAACCGTTCATATGACGTTTAGAAAACGGGAAATTATTGTTTGATAAGACCGCAAATAATTCTATGATAAACGCAAAGTAGATATGCAAAATAAGTACGATAACGACATTGATGAAGCAAAGGATTGAAAACGATAGAACATATAAAATTGGTAAAATGGATATATGTGAGATTCTATACCAGCGTAGTAACGTTGTAAGGAAATTAATATTAAACATACTAATGGTTGTAGTAGCATTTAGTATCGTGATGAGATTTGCTGACCCAGGTCAAATAGATTAGCGCAGGATAATCTGATGCCAAATAAAATGTTGATAGACGTCGACTCCAAGTATCGATATGTAGTTTACCTATGTAATTTATCTAAAAAACTGATCAGTAATATATTAAAGCACGATATCGATAGAGCTATTACCCAGGTGTTTAGCCATAATTTGAGTCGTCCGAAAGGAAACCATCTTGCAACATAACATGTTGTCAAGTATTTAAAATACGTTGATCCGATTCTATATCTGTAATAAACTTGAAATTTAAACCAAAAATCCTGTGAGTAAGTTTGTTCAATATATTGAGATCCCTACAAAAATCTCTACTTGCCTTGAAAAAAAAAACCCCCCGATATTGATAAGAAAAACTCTTGCTAATTCAATCATTCCTTCATAGTCAAAGTCGGCTCAACGGTGAAAATTGGTAGTTAGGCTAGGTCTTGTACTAAACAATTGGTTTAATTGAAACGAATAGAGAATGTTGGAGTTAATGAAAAAAAAATCTGAACGTGGGAAAGAATTAAAAACAATACTAATAAAAGAGGATATACCTTGAAAAACGTAAGATGAAGGCGTCCGTAAAAGGATCTGTTGGGATCGATGGATTCGACGACATGGTGTGGTCAGTCGTGAATGGAGGAAGTTATCGTTGGAAAATAATTCGTCAGTGTTGTAGATAAAAAAAATCCAAGGACGATTGAAATTAAAATTCTTTAATATAATCGTTAGCGTTTTTCTTCTACTTGTTCTTCCTTGTATCAACATTAGAACTATTATCCAGGTAATAAAAAATATAAAAAAAAATGTCAACATATGTTATAGCAATAAACGAAATTTAAATCAATAATCTCTAGAATCTAGAAACAGTCAAGCGGAAACTTGGAAGTCGAAATCAAGTCAAAACGTAAGTTTGTTCTATATAATCTATTAACTAGCAATAGCCCAAACCCCGTTTGAAAGTTTTCAACAGCCATCGAATCTACCGGAAAGCCTCTCGTATTATTG